CCTGCCGGGCCGGGCCTGCCCCGCCGTCCGCCATTTTCCGAGGGTGGTGGCGGCCGAGGGGCGGGGCGGGGCGGGGAGGGGCGGGGCCAGCGCCGCCAGGCCCTTCCGCCTCGGCTGCCCTGGCAACGGGAGGGGCCGGCCCGGCGTGGCCCCGCCCACCCACCGGGCCGTTTCCATGGTGACGGCGGGGCCTAGCGCCACCGAGGGTGCTGGACGCCTGTCTGTCGGTCGGTCCGTCTGTCCTCAGCCTGCCTTCCCGGGAAGGATACTGTGTGTGCAGGGACCCTGCTGGCGCACAGAGGAGGAGGGGGGAGACCCATGACCTCCTCGCCACACCTGGTGATGGAGGAAGGCTTTTGTCCACTGACAGGCCCGGGCTGGCCTGGGCCTTGGAGACTGGCGGCCCACGCCCCAGTCGATGATGGCTGAAACCAGACAGGGTTGATCACGGAAATGCTTAAGCAAACTTGGAGGAGAAAGGGCTATCGGCCTGGCAGATGGCGACTCCGAGTGCTCAAAGTGGTGGCCCGTGGGTGCCAAAATACCAGGCAGATTTAAAAAGTGTGAGATTTTGGGTTTTTTCTCACTCTTACTCTTGAGGATTAAAATTTTTTTCTGTATCATAGAATCATAGATCATATGGGGTTGGAAGGGACCTCTGGAGATCATCAAGTCCAACCCCCCCACTGGAGTGGGTCTACCTAGAGCAGGTTGCACAGGATCTTGTCCAGGAGGTTTTTGAATGTCTCGAGAGAAGGAAACTCCACCACCTCTCTGGGCAGCCTGTTCCAGTGCTCTACCACTCTCACAGTAAAGAAGTTTCTCCTCATGTTTAGGTGGAACTTCTTATGTTCAAGTTTGTGCCCATGTCCTCTTGTCCTGTCACTGGGCACCACCAAGAAAAGACCAGCCCCATCCTCCTGACTCCCTCCCTTTAAATATTTATAAGCATTGATCAGATCCCCCCTCAGCCTTCTCTACACTAAAAAGACCCAAGTTTCTCAGCCTCTCTTCATAAGAGAGATGTTCCAGGCCCTTAATATCTTTGTGGCCCTGATATGTGGAAGTTCAGTTTGTCACTTTAACCTTACAGGTTGAGATACTCTGAAACTTTGAAAAAATGCTATTATGTAATAATTTTGTAGCCAAGTATTGAACTTGGCAATGTTGTCTGTCAGAAACTAAAACTAGAAACTTAGAAGTAAAAAAGTATTTAAAGATCTCTGCTGCGTGTAATGTGGTGGGTTGACCCTGGCCAGCAGTTAAGTGCCCACCAGTTGCTCGCACACTCTGTGCCAGTGGAATGGGGGAGAGACTGAGAAGAGCAGAAGCCAAAAACTCATGGATCGACATAAAGACAGTTTAATAGATGAGGCAAAGCTGCACATGCAAACAAAGAAGAATAATAAATGTATTCACTACTTTCCATCAGCAGGCAGGTGTCTGCTGCTTCCTTTCAATACCTGAAGGGTGCCTATAGAAGAGCTGGGGAGGGACTCTTTGCCAGGAAGGCAAAGGGATAGGACAAGGGGAAATGGTTTTAAATTGGAAGAAAAAAGATTCAGATTAGGCCTCAGGAAGAAATTTTTTACTATGAGGGTGGTGAGACACTGGAACAGGTTGCCCAGGGAAGTTGTGGATGCCCCATCCCTGGAGGTGTTCAAGGCCAGGCTGGATGGGGCCTTGAGCAACCTGGTCTGGTGGGAGGTGTCTCTGCCCATGGCAGAGGGGTTGGTACTCGATGATCTTTGAGGTCCCTTCCAACCCTAACCATTCTATGATTCTATGATTCCTGGAAAGCAGGGCTTTGTCACACAAAACAGTTATGTGGGGAAACACACCATAACCATGAGCATCACACCTTCCTCCTCCTTTCCTTGAGCTTTAATTGCTGGTCATCATGCTGTGTGGTAAGGGATATGCCTTTGGTCAGTTGGGGCCAGCTGTCCCAGCCGTGTCCCCTCCCAGCTTCTTATCCCCAGCCAACTCGCTGGCTGGGCAGAGTGGGAAATTGAAAACCTGGATGCTGTGCCAGCACTGCTCAATGATAGCCAAATCCCTGGTGTGTTATCAACTCTGGTTTAGTCACAAATTAATACCACAGCATTTATGGACTGCTATGAAGAAAACTTCATCCTAGCCAGATCCAATATTGTGAACTATTGAAATTTTGGTTGAACCTTTTATGTGCTAATCTGCAGTGAAATAAAACAATGAGTGCTAGAGCTAAGGCCTGGAATGACCCTAAATATAACTAATGAAGAGCAAGTAATGTTTAAAAGCGGATGTTTCCAGTTTCCCAAGAACAAATGTAAAACAAAGAAATGAAGTCATGAAAGAAATCCTTAAAATAAATTCTCAACAGACATTAGTATTTGCCATTTGGATTATAAGGCAAGACATCGTGACAACCAGGCCAACTGCAAGCACTGTGTTCTTCAATATCAAACAAGGGATTTTATGTACAACAGGAAAGAAGTATTGATAATAGTTGAAACAGAAATCAATAGATCAATTTCCAATTCAATAGTTCATCAAGAAATGGATCCTTAGTATCTGCAAACGAATAAATTGCATTTATAATAATACTTTTCATATAGCTCCCATATTCTGAACTATATATGTTGATCATGTATGCTTGTAAAGAACTCTTACTCTTTGCTTTATTTAAGAAAAAAAACAAACCTGAATAAAAATAAGATTCCCCTTCAATTCGCTCCTGCACTTAAAACCTTTATGTGAAGACTATATTGAGAATAAAAATGTAGTAACATGTTGTTTCATTCAGCCTTCCTTGGATTGATACGTGCTGCACAGCTGTTGCCTAAGTGAAAATGTCCTGTGGTGATAAGAGACTGAATTAGCAGAGAGGATGTCAAAGCTGGAATTGCTTTAAAAGCCAAATAACTTTATTAGGAAATCAGGGTTTTTTTATAATTAGGTGCCCCATGTTTTGACAAGCATATCTTCCCTAAACATTGGCATTATTCCTGCCTGTCTTTCTCTGTGATTGCCTCCTCTGTGGTTAAGGCTGCCAATGATGTTTTTAAGAGATCACCTGCATACAGATTAGGAAATAATTTTTTTTTCTCAGTGAAATTTACGTAGTCACAGACATTTGGAAATTTAAATCTGTCTATCCTAAGCAGTCATTTTAATTTGCATAACATTATTATTGTGACCAATGTTTT